GGTTTCCCCCTCCTTCCCCGCCTCCCCGCCTAGGTGCGGGCGGGGGTGCTGACTCTTCTCTCTGGTGAAAGAGACCAAATAGTCACCGAAGAGGAGGGGTTGGGGGGACGTTTTTTTGTGCCTTTGATCTTTAGCGAACCCTGGAACGGGCTCAACGCGGATCTCATTAATGCAGCTCGGCAGATGAGCGACCCCGGGGAAGGAAGCGCGGTCCGCGGAGTTGCCCCTGCTCTTGGACCAGATCAAAGCGGAGAACGGAGGCTAATCAGAATTTCTGGAAGCTGCCTTCCGGTGTGGTGTTTCTCTCCTGCAGTCAGGTTAAAAGACATTTTCATTGCAGCGGGAAAATATAGTTTTGTAAGCAGAGAGGACGTGGCCAATTGCACCTTAAAAAATGTAACCCTTTTCCTGGACATAAGGAAGCAGATAGGCAGACGGAAGTGAGATGGATGAAGGATCAAATCCACCTGGTACTGAGTCTTAGTTTCCTCTAGGGCAGGTCTTCAAACTTGAGCGCGCACAGGAATCACCTGGGAATCTGATTAAAATGCAGATTGGAACTGAGTGGGGTGAGCACTGATGATATGCAGTTCCAGCAAGCTTCCAGCTGCCCTCAAAGAATGGCACCTGGCCTTGTGCTGTTCTGCCAACTGTTTGGAAACCTGTAACAAGTAGAAAAATTGAGGACAAAGGTTTACAAACTTTTGTAGCAATGTAAAAATAACACGACATAAAAGCACATGATCGGTGGACTCTTCAAACCGAGTATAAACCAGTTTGGGTGTTGTCAAACTCCGTAGTGAGTCACACCTGGCACAACAGGGTTCTCCTATTGGTACCTGGCAGATTGGAAACAAAAACGACTGGTTCCTCACCACAAATGGTTTGAGAAGTTCTCTCTAGGGGATTTGCCAACTGCTACTCATCCTTTAAAACTCAAGTGGGAAAGTCACATCTTCCAGGGTAAGCCTGCCCAGAGATGCCCAACCACTCAGCCCCCTTCCAGCTCCACCTAACCACACGGTGTGGCTTATTTCTAAGACTACTGAGGAAACTATACCATGTTAAGGGTATTTTTTTATTGGTGTCCTACCCATCTTCAGTTGGGAGATTAGAAGCTCCTTAAGAGAGAGGACTGTGCTTTCAAATTTGTATCCCCAGCCTGTCTCAGAGAACGAATGAATGAAGCATCCTTCTGTAATCCTTGTGTAAAAATTCAGGCATGTTTGCAACTTATCTCAGAGGAGTTCTTCAGCATTAATATCTTTGTATTCACTCCCCTTCCCTTTGGAAAGAGTCAAGGTATAAATTAACTCGGGATATTATGCTATGTGATTGCCCTGTTTCACAGGTTCACACATGTAAGCCATTAAAGATTGTGTCCCAGGTTGCATGGAAAGTTAAGATGGAGCCAGGATAAATAACAACCATCCCAGGCACCAATCAAAGTGCTTAGTCAAATGAGTCCTGCTGCCACCTGTGTTCAGATACTGGAACAGAGCAATTACAGTCATTATGGTGTTAATCTGTGTAGAACATCACTCCAGAGAAAGTACCAGGCAGCTTGTTCAAGTAAGGGTGTGGATGTGGCTTGGTTCCCAGCAACAGCCCAGCGACTGATGGACCTGGCCATGTCATTTCAAAGTCACTCTCCAATACTGGCTCATCACTTGTCACAAATGTCCCACAGCATTACAACATGTTAATAATAGAAGAAACTGGGACACTTTAACCTCAATTTTCCTGTAAAGCTAACATTGCTCAAAAAAAGAAGTCTATTAATATTTTAAAAATCACTTCCCTGTTGATTAAGAAGATATGGTTAATAATTATATACCCCCCAGCTAGAATTGTGAGCCAGATCCAATTCATAAGGGTTGACTTTTACTCAATTATATTTCTTTAAAAAGTTTACACCATTTTATCAAAATCCCCTAGGACAGTTGTTAAAAAGGAAAAACAAACAAGCAAAAAACATGACTGTATCTCAGGGGTGGGCTTGGTGCCTAAGAATCTGCATTTTAGTAAATACCCAGGTAGACAACTCTGAGTTTGCAGGTAACTGCTTTAGGTTGTCAGAATTCATCAGCTTTTCCATATAAATGCACAGCTTTAAAAGGTATAAAGATAAACTGGAGCAGCAAGATTCTATTTGCTGAACAAACAGCAAAATGCAAGATATCAACTTTCAAGTATTTGGGGGTGAAATCAGTTGTTTAAAAGGGCTATGTTAAATTTACAAGAACTTTGAGAAAATTGGACAGAGAAGGGGATGTATTTTAAATCAGTAGATTTCTAAGAATATCCACTTGTTACCATTTTTTTTTTTTAAGTTAAGGGCTTCCTTTCAAGGAGCTGTGTTGCCCCTTGGTCAAAGCTGTTTGGGCTAAAACATGAAATCCTGCCTTCTGAGAACTGACAGTCAAGAATGTTAATGCCAGATTGGGCACATTTCTCTGAGGCTAAGTCCCTTCTTAATTATCCTCCTTATTTCTCTGACACCATGCTAATAGAGTGTTGCACTTGCAAAATAAAACACCAAAAAAGCTCACGTTACCTTCTCTTCTTTAGCTGCAAAAATTAATCCATCAGTGACAAATATATATTTGTAAATAGATGGAACCATTTCCCCACTTAAAGGAGACTTCTGTACATGTATGTGTCAGTTTTTGTTTCCACCACATGTTTGTTGGGTTTCGTTGAAATGGGTTGTCTTAATTTCCTTTGTGATTTCAAATTGAGTTTCTTTGCTGTTGTTCTGTTGCCGCGAGGATTTCCTAATCTGGATGTGTCTTTATGTACAGAGTCTTTTTCATTACTATGGTTTTCATAAAGTACTCACCTTTAATTGCTCCAGTCCAACTAATGGTTTAATTACTAGTTACAGAAAGGGAAAGTTCTGGAGTTTCTTTCGCACAAATTAGAAGTTAATAACTGACACAACCTTAAGATCCTGTTTTTCATGCTCAACTAAACAGCAGTCCCTTTCAGTTCGCTTATAGTCTTGGATGTTTAAAAATTCACATGTTTTTGCCTTTTGAACAAACGAACATTAAGGGACTCCTTTAATGTTGTTTAAATTTTTAAACAAGTGTTCGTTTTATTTCTCATAACTGACAATCCAAAAACCCTCAAGGGAGTTGTTTGGTTTTGGTTTTTTTAATGTGAAACTTTAAAACAATTGTGAAAGATTTCTTTAGAAGGAATAAAATGGGAGGGGGGAATATCTGAAAATTTCATATTGTAGAATTAAACAGGTACAAAAGAATAAACACAGAAATAAAGCAGAGATAAGACTCTCAAAAAACTAACTTGCTAGAAGTCATTTTTCTAAACAAGATGGGCTTCGGCTGAGACATCATTTACCCCATCAGATAGTTCTCAGTGGATGGTCAATGCCAACTTTGAGCAGGATCGATGCCCTACCACTTCACACACCAGCAGGAATGCTTACTAAATTGATATCCCACACAAACACAGAGCTGTTTTCATAAATTAATCCATTCTGCTTAAAGGGTCATGTCCTGAATATCATATGATATCACTTATATATGAATCTTAAAAAAAATACAAATTTTATTTACAAACCAAAACTAGACTCATGGACATAGAAAACAAACTATCATTACCAAAGAGGAAAGGGCAGGGGAGGGATAAATAAAGAGTTTGGGATTAACAGATATAACATTACTATGTATAAAATAGATAAACAGCAAGGACCTACTGTATAGCACAGGGAACTATATTTAATTTCTTGTAATAACATATAGTAAAAAAGAATCTGAAAATATGTATATGTATGTATATGTATAACCGAATCACTTTGCTGTACACCTGAAACTAACATTGTAAATCAACTACACTTCGATAAAAAATAAAATTAAAAAAAAAAGTGCTGTGTTCTGGTCCTGCTGGGTGTGATAAATAAATGGTATAAAACTCCATGAAACCCTCCATGATAATATATTCTGTCCACTTGGAGTATGTTTGAAAGTTCCTTTTCTCTCTTGATTGCCTGTTACCTCCATGTTTCCTCTCTTCTATTTCATAGGCGTGGCTCTGAGGCTGACTTTCCAAAATTTACCCACTCTCCACCTCTGTTCATCACAGAATCTTTACCACTTCCAAACCTTGTGCCTTCACTTATCATCACCCCCAAACTTGTATTTTCAATCCTTCCTGCTCACATTATCCAAGTCAATAAATGTGATCAAGTCTCTTTCATTTGAAAATGGCTGTTTCTTAACCCAATTGCTCCCTGAACTACTGGGCCATCTCTCTTCAAATCCTTAGCTTTTCATTGTCTCTACTTCACCCCCAGGCAATTTACTCTTCAACCCCTTAGGATTGAATTTTTGCCCTCTGTCCCATTTTCTTGAAGATCGCCGTGACCTCGGAATAATCAAATTGAACAGCCTGTTCTCGAATTCCGTCCTCCTTGACGATGC